TGTTACGTTGGAAGAGGAAGAGGAAGAATGAAGTAGTAGAAAAAAAGGAATATATCCCATTTACTTTATGAGTGAATGATACTCCCTAATGCCCTGCCCCATTAATTTTGCTGTTAATATTTGCCACTCTGCTAAGGGATTAAATGATGCAAGTCACCTTAAGTACTTACTTAAGGTGGCTGACACATAATTGGTGCTCACTAAATAGTAGCTATTATTGGTTCTCTCTTTTGCTCCTCTTTTTCCTGGGGTTTCCCGTCAGCTCCTTCAGCCCCAGCCTCTCTCTGGACAGACCCCATCAAATCAGAGTCTTGACCTGGGAGCTGGCCAGAGGCTGAGAAGCCAGAATAACTGCATAGGTGCCCGTTCCTAGCCCAGTCCTCAGTCTTCGCGGCCTGTGCTGGTGTCTGGCAGGTGTGCCTCGAGGACCAGATGTGCCTGCTTGATTCTGCTGCCTGGCCTGTGAAGCTCTGCATGCTGGGTGCAGAGCAGAAGTCTCTTCTTTCCTCCTCTCCTGGTGTTCCGCAGCATCTTGTCCCTGCTCTGGGCTTGGCTTCCCCTGCTGGAGCCTTTCCTACCTGCCCAGGTGTCCTGTGGAGCGCTGGCAGTAGTCCTAAAGACACAGGTGCACTAGGGCAGGAAGGGTCCAGAGAGGCCCTTCAGGCCACATAGAAAGGACCACAGAAGGGAAGTGACTTGCTTAAGGTCACACGGCTGGCTAGGGTGCAACCACAGTGAGCACCAGAGTCATTGACTCTCTCCCGTGCTACTTTATCCTCTGGTGCCGTCTCCCAGTTTCTCCTGTGGCTCCCTCCTGGGCCAAGGCTGCTTCTATCCTCTGAGCTTCTGACAGAAATCTTAAAACAACAACAACAACCATGTTAACAAGAGCAGCCACCATGAATTGAGCACTTATTCTGTGCCAGAGACTGGGCTGGGGCTGCTTTTCATACACCTTGCTGACCCTCCTAGCAGCCCTGCAGGTACGGAGGTATTAGTGGTAGCCCCATTTTACAGATGAGTAAACTAAGACTTTCAGAGGGTGTCACTTGCCTTGGGCCACGCAGTTTAGCCATGGAGAACACAACATCTGACTGCAGAGCAGTCTATTCCCCACCACAGGGCATCCTGGGGATGGAAGCCATGAGCTCTGTTCCCGTTCCCTGAGTTGATTTCCTGGGGTCCCATGGGCCGAGGGTGGGGGGGCTGCCCCTCCCTGAGGACTCACAGTGCTCATCTCATGGGCTTTAAAAAACTGGGCACAATTGGTACGGCTTGGTGGAATGGAGGGACAAGGCATGGTGTTTGAGAAGGGGATGGTTGGATAAGGATGCTTGTGACCCCAAACTTACTCCTGTAGCGATGATACCTGATAATGGAGTTAGCGAACTTTGGGATTGTTGCTAGACTGGGATAGGAATGTGCATTTTGCTAATTTGGTTATAACCAGGATTTCTGGTTCTGGCTTTGATTTCTTTTTGCATGTGACTTTTATTGCAGAAAGCTTCTCTCAGCCTGTTTTTATTAAATCCCAAATTAAGCAAGAATCCCAACAGGAAGAGAGCAGCTGTGGGAGACCAGGCCTCACTCGTTCACACTGTGTATGCGGTTGGCGGGTGTGTTTATTTGATTTGATCTGTGTGTGTGTGTCCCCTTTTAAGAAGATTTAAAAATAACTTTCTGGCCAAGATGTGGGCACTTAGGGTAGTGTTGCTGAGCGCGCGTCCTCTTCCCACCCGTGGTCTGCTGCTCTGCTGATGTGGCCTGGCTGACGTGGGCGCTCCTCTGCCTGCAGGAGTCCAGCCCCTCCTTTAATGTGTTTTCTAAGAGGAAAGGCCCAGGAAGCCATGGGGAGGGAGAGGCTGTCTGGTGGCTCAGGGAGGAACTCAGCTGTTGGGGACAGAGTGGGCTGGCTTTGCGTGATTTCACTTGAGAACCCAGGGACCTGGATCTGAGTTGCTCAGGGATGCCAGCAGGAAACCCAGAGAGCATACCCAGGGCAGGATGTGATTGTGCCCATTGCACACACAGGAAGACTGAGAAGCTAAGAGTAGAAACGATGCACAAGTTACATGCCAGGTCTAGAGCCAGGCTGGCGCCATATATCTGGAACCAAATACCTATAGGCCCAAGAGGGGTTCACCCACTCCTTTCCCTGCGTCCTCTCTCTGACATTTACTGGATTTCCTATACAACAAAATTAAATGGCATCATAGTTTGGCAGTGATTTTTTATGTTTTTTTTTTAGCCTAAAATTCTATCCATTCATGTATTCCACGAGTATTTATTGAGAACTTACTTTGTGCTCACCAGTATTCTAGGCATTGGGGATACAGTAGTGAGCGAAGTACACAGGACCTATGACCTGGTGGAGCTTGTGTTCTGGTGGGGGAGACAGATGTGAATCAAACAACCACGCAACCTCATAGCTGCCAACTCTGATGTGTGGGACGAGGACAAGATAAGAGGTTTGATGTGCACTCCTAACATGGGACCTGGCCTAACCTCGGTGGAGCCAGAAGTCTGTGTTGAGTGTTTGTAATCAGCCATGTGTACTTGGCAGTTGTTTTGTTTTTGTTTTTGAGCCTAAGTATGGGAATTTAAAAACTGTTCTTTTAAATGTTGTCTCAGGCTCTGGTTCGTGGTGCTGATCTTTCAGGGTTGTATTTAACATCCAACATGTTAGCTGTTCTTATTTGCTCAGTGTAACCCATGGGTTTGATAGACACACCTTCCACATTTTTGTCCAAATCATCGTCCTAGGTTCTGTCCAATTCAAAATGACTTTCCAGTCCTGTTGCCCACCACCAGAGACCTCCTAGGTCTAGGAAGACTTAGATCCAGATTCATCTCCATTCCTCAGTGGTGAACAGCATTGTTTTTTGGATTCATTTCTTCCTTTATTAGCCATAAAATATTCGAATGTCTACCGTGTGCAAGGTCTTTCAGAATCCAGGGAGTATATTCAGTCTTAGCCAAGGACTTAATTGACTTAAAGTTGTTCTCTTCATCAGTGTCTTTCTCAGGCTTCAAATCTCTCTGGTCCACATTTGTTCAGCCATTCTCTTTGGAAAAAAAGATGGAATCAAATTAAGTATTGATTCACCCCCTTCCTCACCCGTCCCTCAAAGCTGCACACCACGACTCCTATAAAACCACTTTTCCCTTTCCATGTGTGTGTTTTAAGAAGGACAGAAGTGAGAGCAGATGGTGACAGGGAGAGTTGGGGGACAGGTTAAAGCAATGGGTCTCAAAGTGTGCCCTGGGGACCCTTGGGATCCCTGAGACTCATTCAGGGCCCATGAGCTCCAAATCATTTTTGTAATAAAATGTCATTTGCCTTTTTCACTCGCCTTCTCTCTCCAGCGTACAGTGGACTTTTCCAGCCGTCACAAATACTGTGATGTCACAACAGACTGGATGCAGAAGCCGATAGGAAAATCAAGCTGTCTTCTTTTAAGCCAGGCATTAAGGAAATTTGCAGAAATGAACAACTCGTCTTACTAAACTTGTTTTTGTTTTGGAAGATATATTTTTCTTTCAAAAGTGTCATTTATGTTAACACATAATGGGCTTGTTATTGATGTTTTTGAATGAATTAATATTTCTTAATTTTAACTTCTAATACAGTAAATATTGACAGCAATAACTCCCAAACAAAAGTTCTTTGGGACCCTCAATAATTTTTGGGAGCATAAAGGGACCCTGAGACCAAAATGTTTGAGAGCTGCTGAGCTAAATGGTAGAGGGCAGCTGGGTGTTCCGAGAATACTAGTTACTCAGGAATCAGACATGAGCCGATGGACAGGCTTAAATTCATGTCATTCCTGATCCAGACATCCGCAGTCTGTTCCAAGGCGTGAGTTGCATAGGATGAGAGATTCCTTTGGAGCTGTGGAAATACCTTCTCTCCCCTGGAGGAGAGGGACTGGTCTGGGCATCACCTTGCTATCATTTTTTAGAGGTACACACCAAGTACCGCTCTTGACGCTCCCTAGGGGTCAGCAGCAGCGCTGCTAAGTCCTGTTGGCAATGTGAACACAGTCTATGGAGCCTGGTTCAAATCGCAGTCCAGATTCCTTAAGACAATTGCAGCCCCGGAGTTCCCCATCCATCTGCTGTCTGGGCTTGTTCCCACTCCAGAGATCATAAACAGGCTTCTTCAGCTTGAGGAGGGAGCTGGGTCTCAGGAAGCAAGTGTCCCATGAGCCCTGGGTGGTAATCCCAGGCCAGATGTGCCAAGGGGTGAGTGCCATTCCAGGCCAGATGTGGAGTTGCGGGTGTGCCCAGCCCCTCCAAGGGCTCAGCTCTACACTCAACAGCATCCTCCCTTTGCTGCCCATTCAGATTGGAATCTGCAGCTCTGAACAAGTCAAAACCTGTGAGCTTCCACCCCTGGTTTCCCCGGGACTCCATTGAGAGCCTCTGCAGCTGGCAGCCAGAGGTTTCAAAGGTCACCTCGGCTGGGCGAATTAGAACAACAGATCTCCCTGACCGGGTGAAGTTGGCCGCCGGGCGAAGGCAAGTTGCAACATCTGTGAGCAGAGTCAGACAAACGCCCCTTAACTTTCTCAGTCTGGCTCTGGGCTCTGCAGCGCCCCTGGCTCTCCTTCACTGTCTTCCTTCTCTGACGGACCTTGGACAGGAATCTCTGCAGCACAGTGGCAAAGCGTGGCTGCCCAGGCGTCCCGACTCGTGGGAGAGCTGCCCGGGGAGGAGGCCACGGTAAGGCGTGTCCATTCTCTGGTGTGTGGCCCTGCCCCACTGTTTGCTCCCGTGGGTCACAGCAAGTCAGCGTGGCACAGCCCATAGCCGAGGAGCAGCCCGCGCCTGGATTAGGAACGATTAGGGAATTTGTCAGGATTTGAGTCCACTGCTGAGAGAGGATTAAGGTGGGGAGAGTGGAGCTGTCACTGTCTGGGCTATTTGCACCTGGGCGGTTTCGCTGCTGGACGTGTGGGTTCGCTGCTGACTGCCAGGGAGCTCTTCCCTATAGGGAAGGTATGGTATCGCCAGGATGCGCTGCTGCCTGACCAGGTGCTCAAAGACGATGATCATTTTAAATGTATGCATGTTGGGTAGGGAGGGAGACAACTGGTTTCTCTAAACTTGTTCTGCCATATAACTTGATTTTTAACTTTCTTCTGAGTCTTTTTGCCTCAGAGTTGCACTCTCTTTTGGCCGTAGTTGAAAGTGTTCCTTTCTGGGTTCAAGAGACAATTTAAAGTGCTTTTGATCAAATTAATGTCTAATTAACTCAGTGCTGCTTTGAATGATTAATAAATTCTGTTACTTATGAAAACCTTATTTGGAAGTGAGCTTGGCCCAAACATCGTGGGGTGGGGGGGTGCTGCTTCCAGCCCTCAGACGAGTGCTTTTTGACCCCTCTCCTCCATTCCTTCTCTTTTTACTTCTCTGTCCTTTGATCTAGGGTTCACTGGTATTGAATGAAACCCCCTAGCGGGGGTGTGTGTTTTATTCCAGCCACTGAGCACTGCTCTGCCGATAGAAAATTTATTGCAGAATTTATCCAGGCCCTCTGGTGTTCTCGATTGGAATGTGGTCACCGGCTGGACAAGGGATTAGAAGGGAACAAGGAGGGTTTGGTTTGATTTATTATTATTATTTTTTTGATAGAGCATTCCAAGTATGTCACTAACCATTAATTGGCAGTGTGGATGGAATCTGTTTATACTGCTGATGGCAGTGGGCGGGGCGATGGGCTGAGCAGAGATGTTTGGTGTGCTGGCCGGCCTGGGCGCTGGTCCTGCCCGCGTGATAGTTAAGTAACTGTCCCCCACCTCCACCGCCTCACAGGGGACTGGATGTCTCCTGGCTGTATGGACTTGCCTGTTCCTTGTCTAAGGTGAAGCCAGACCCCTCCTATGGACGGATGACTTCTGTCTTCTGTGTTCTTGAGGCCAAGCATGTTCCTTTTGATGTTAGCATCTGGGGCCTTCAGGAGATTTAGATGGACCTCAGAGGGTCTTGGATCAAGAGGATTTGTAGAGAGGGTCCTGAGCCTGATGTCACCACTCCTAGTGTCCAGCTCCCCGGAAAGCAGAGGTGGAAGAGTCTCGTGTCTTCCCAAGCCAGGCCGGGGAGCAGAGGGGAGGCGCATCCTTTCCCCCCTTCCTCTGTGCAACTCCCAAGCCTCTGCCTATTGCCTCTCCCTTTACCGGGGATAGCAGGAAACCCTCGTCTGGGTCATGGGGCCTCCAGGAAGCCCACAGGATATGACTGCGATCAGACTCTGGTTTGCTTTCCACTTCTTAGTCGTGTGACCTTGGGCAAGTGTAGTTGGCTTTCTGAGCCTCGATGTCCTCATTTGTGAAAGGAGCATAATCAGACCTGCCTTGCAGGACTGTGGGGACCCAGTGAGATTAGTGCCCAGCACGATGTCGGGGGCACACACCTTGCCCATTAAATGGGCTGCTGGAATGGACACGACAGTGCTGCGGGAGCCTGCCTGTGAGCCTCAGGCCCTCCTTCCCCACCTTGTCCCCAACTTCCATCTGCCTCCTACGGCTGTTATACAGTAATCCCACTCAGATGCCCTTGCCCTGAGGATAATCATGCTGGCCTGGGCACCTTGTTGTCCTTGGTGAAAAGGGTCTGTCCTCAGTGAAAAGGGTCTGTCCTCAGGGCGAGGAAACTGATTTCCCTTCAGCAGCTGGATGATGATGAGGATGTTGACAGCTACCGTGTATTGACTGCCTGTTATGCTGCACATTGTGTTTTATATACACTCTCATTCACATCCTCCCTTCAGCCTTGTGAGGTTGATACTCTCATTCCCATTTTACAGAAAAGGAAACTGAGGCCAAGAGAGTTGAAGTCCTTTGCTCAGCCCACCGCTGGAAAGTAGCAGTGCCCCTGGATTGGTGGCAGGGTCTGACCCTTGTGATACCTGCCCCCACCTCCTCCCCACCCCCACTGCTGGCTGCACCTCACCTCGGTGGCAGTGGAGGAGGGCAGAGGGAGCGGTGTCCTCCTGGGCTATGGTCCTGGGTAGCTCTGCAGGCAGCTCTGCCCCCATTCCTTCCCTATCCTCATGTTACTACACTCGCCCCACTCACATGTAATTGTTCACTGCGGTATCCCTTGCAGCTAGCTTGGCACATTAGGTACATGCTGAATCTATATATTTGAATTGAGTGAATGAATACATCCTGATTCTTGCCATTAAAATTATATCACAATTACTTTGAAATGCTTCTGAAAACACACACATAAACACAATGATATAAATATAGCAAAACGTTAATTATTGAATCTAAGTGGCGGGTATTTGAGGTGCTCATTTTATCATTCTTTCTACTTTTCTGTATGTTTGCAATTTTCCATAACAAAACTTATTTTTAGTTTAAAATTTCTATATCATTAAATTCCTATCATTATTTTCCTTGTAAATATATACACTCATATAACTGCCTGATATTTTACTGTCTTTAACCAATTAGCACTGTTAGATATGGGGGTATTTTTTCTATTTCTATTTAACTGGACTATTTTTCTATTTCTTTTGCTATAAGTGATGTGATTAGCATTCTTCTATATAAATTTTGGGCTGCATCTCTGATTCTTTCCCAATAATACATTTCTAAATGTAGGATTACTGGGGAAAGAGATGGACATTTTGTTCAGAATCTTTTTGCCAAATCACTTTCCAGAAAGATTGTACCAGTTTATATCCCCCTAGCAGGGTATGGGTGTGCCCACCTCACCACAGTCTCACCAGCATTGTATGTTATCTTTCTTTTTAAATGTGATTTTGGTTAGTTTTTTTAAGATAATAGCTTGGGGTTTTTTTGTGTGTGTGTGTGAGGAAGATCAGCCATGAGCTAACATCCATGCCAATCCTCCTCTTTTCACTGAAGACCGGCCCTGAGCTAACATCTATTCCCAACTCTCCTCCTTTTTTTTCCCTTTTTCTCCCCAAAGCCCCAGTAGATAGTTGTATGTCATAGTTGCACATCCTTCTAGTTGTTGTATGTGGGACGCCGCCTCAGCATGGCCGGACAAGTGGTGCATCGGTACACGCCCGGGATCCGAACCCCGGGCCACCAGTAGCAGAGCACACGCACTTAACCGCTAAGCCATGGGGCTGGCCTGATAATAGCTTGTTTTTAATTTGCACTCTTAGATTCTTACTGAGGCTAGGCAGTGTCCATTTGTTTAGTGATCATTTTTCTGTCTTCTGTGAACCATCCAAGTCATAGCCTCTGCCCAGTGATCTATCTGGCTGTTTTCTTCTTATATGTAAAGTGTTCTAGTCCTTTGTTTTCGTTGCAAACATTTTATCACAGGTTATCATCCATCTTTTAATGTTGTCGGTGGTATGTTTGGCATACAGAAAATCTTAATTTTATATGTATGTGATAGCAGCTCTCAACTTTCTCCTTGTTACCCCAACCTCAGACCCCCTACCCACCAGCCAACTCTGACTGCTTACGGGAGGCAAGAGGGCCCAGTGGTTAAGAATAGGGACCCTGGCACCAGATGCCTGGGTTCGAATGCCAGTTCTGCCCCCTACTCAATGCCATGACCTTGGGCAAGTTTCTTAATCTCATTGCACCTCGGTTTCTAATCCATAAAATGGGGATGATGAGATTATCTGTCACATGGTGTTGTGAGGAACAGATGAGCTATTATTTATACAGTGCTTAGAACAGTTTCTGGCATACAGTAAGTGCTACCTAAGCGTCACTTTTATTTGTTACCTATTGCAGTGAACCTGTGAGGCTTATCATTTGGAAAGGATTGTGTTTGCAAAGCTAATACCTTATCAGTGAAAGAGAAAGCTGGATTTGTCAAGCAGGGAACATGGCCTGTTATAAACAAATCTAGATCTTTGTTACTTTAACTTGAACTTCAAAATATATCTCCATTTTATTTTTGTTAGATATTATTAAATTTAAATAAACTAATTACATGCCCCAGACACCACTACTCACTTGTGTCAACTTACCCAGCTCACAGGATGAGAGTTAAGTGTATAACTGAAGATCCCAAGAAAGTGAACAGAAAAATAAAAGCTAGGAATACTGTTCCTCTTCGGTTTAGTAGATGTTTGTCACATGCCTGCAATAGGCATGGCACCATGGATTCCATGGAGAGTGAGATGTGGTCCCCAGCCTGGAGCCATTCCAGCCTGGTGAGGCTTCCACCTGTACAAGGAACCCAGAGCGGGGGTACTTAGGATGTATTCCAGGTGGTGGCCGTGGGTGTCCAGTGACCTTGGCTGGGATCTGACCACCCAGCTTCTCTTGCCTGCTGCCTGTTTTCCCAGCCTGGTTCTTTAGCCTTTCCAGTGGATTTGGAGTGCTCCCTCCCACCCCCATCTTTCTAACGGGACCCTTCTCCATTTATGAGAGCCAGAGTCAGTTTCTGTAGCTTGGACCTAGGACTCAGATTCGTCCCTATTACTAATCCCACTTCTGGAATCAATCCTAAGGAAGTCCCTTTGTTCTAGCCAACCATTCCTGTCCCCATCGCCATCTTGTCTAGTCTCAATGGGGCCCTGGACCAGGAGTCAGGAACCTGAGGGATTCTTGCCAGGGATGCCATCACTTGCTTGTCTCTTTGGGTGAGTGACTTACCCTCTCCGGGGCCTCAGTTTTAAATGGAGGAGTTGGCCTGGATAATCTTGAAATGCTCCCTTCTCTGACCTTCTATGACTTAGGGGCTTTTCACAATCTCGTCCCCAGAAGTGGGATGTCCTCCCTGGCCTTGCTTCCTTCCCTTCATTCACCCACACGCTCTCACCTCACCTCACCCAGGATCCTTGCTGTACTAACCCCAAACTCTTTCCTTTCTTGGAGATGCATCCCATTTTTCTTTAGCCTCTGAGCTCTTGCAGTTCATGCAAAAGCAGCTTTTACTTTCTACCATCGGTACCTAGTGTTGATGTTGATTCTGAAGGGTCGGTGACTATTAAGTACCGATTCTAGATACCCATTGTAAAAACTCTGAGAACCCTCTGGTTTCTCTGTTCTTGCCCCAGCTGCCCCTTTCCTAAAAGTTCTCCATGGAGTTTTGGGGAGGGCAGGGTGTGGTCTTGGGAGCTGGCATCTGGGGCAGGCAAGGCCTCGCCCCGGCAGCCTTTTGTGGGAGACACAGAGCCTCTTGTTCCCAGAGAGGAGCTCCAGGTGGATCCTGACCTAACGGGGCTCCCCGTAAAACTCACAGCACCGGGGCCACCCCAGCACACAGGGCACACTGCTGCCTGCAGGGAGGCAGGGCTGTACTCTGTCTCATCTGACCTGGCCTTCCTTCCTGTTTGCAGACCATGGGGGATGTGAAGCTGGCTGCCTCAACACACGTTTCCAAAACCTCCCTCAGTGCGGATCACTCAAGAGTCGGCTCCATGCCTCTGACCGAGGCCCCTGCTTTCATTTTGCCCCCTCGGAACCTCTGCATCAAAGGAGGAGCCACTGCCAAGTTCGAAGGGAGGGTAAGAAGCGTGGCTGGATGGGAGGCTTGGGGGAGATGGGGCGGGGGTCGTCACTCCTTGAGCCTTCTCTTCAGCAGGCTGGATCTGGCAGAAGGCCTGGTTTTCTTTTGGACCCACATATAAAGGGAATATATACCAATTTTCCCTATTTCTTTTGTTTTTGGTTGACTTTGGTCTGTGTTGGAGAACTTGCGGGGGATGGGAAGGGACACTGAGCTGTTTTGCTGTTAATTTAGGTCGTGTTTTGAGTGTGTGCTACTTGACTATAGGAGAAGACATAGGCTGGTGGCAGGGAACCTACAGCTTGGGTTTCAATATGTGCCCTCAAATCTGGACGATTGAGAACTGACTGTAATTTTCCTCTTCCTCCCTGAAGGAATGTTTAGTTAACTGACCCTCTGTGTATCCACCTGGTACATCCAGAGCAGTGGGATGGGAGACAGGACCCCTTTTCAGTTCTGTAGCCTTTTGCTAATGAATACTGGTCTCTTGCCCTTACTGGGCCTCCATTTCTTCTTCTGCAAATGGGCAGGATAATTCCTTGTCCACCTTGTACTAAAAAGAGGAAGATCAGAACATTGAAGAAGAGCTGTAAGACTATCTGAGGTTATGCCCAATTGGAGAGACTTCGTAACCGGCTGGCTCAGGCCACCAGGAAGTCACATCAACCTGATGTGGAGATGCATGTGGAAAACAGGGAGATTTGCAAGTAATATTTGTGCTGGGATTAAACGTGGAGGAGCTACCCCAGGAAGAGCTTTAGAAGCTAAAAGGCTTTGATCTGAGCAAAAGACAACAGAGGCGCTGAGGAGTTCGTAGGCTGCACTATGAATCTACAGTGTAAGAGCAGGCCCCTGAAAGCTTGTGGAAGGAGGAGGTCGAGTGCATCACTCTTCTTGGGTGGCACTGGGCCTTGCCTTTGTTTAAGTGGCACGTTTGGCTGCATGGTCATCTGGAGAGTGTACAGGGGCTGCACTGCAGTGTGTGCTCTGCACAGGCTTGTCTAGTTAAGACTGTTTGCTGGTGGGTGTGACGTAACAATCCTTGTTGTATCTTCTACCTGAAGAAGATTGTGGGGGAATGTTGGTGATGTTGCGAAGGCGTCTGTTTCTTCTCTCTGGGCACTACCAGGATGAGGGCTCTTTTCTGTTGCCCTGACTATGGTCCCCCCATCCCCACATCCCCACAGTTGGCAGGAAAGAAGCAACAGGAAGAATCCCTGGGGATTTAGAAGTGGCTTAGACAGCCATTAAAAAGGGATGAAGTACTGATGCACACTATGACATGGACGAATGCTGAAAACATTCTGCCAAGTGAAAGAAGCCAGACACAAAAGGCCACATATTGAATGACCCCATGTATACGAAATGTCTAGAATAGGCAAACCTATAGAGACAGAAAGTAGATTAGTAGTTGCCAGGGGCTGGGGAGGAGGAGTAGGGAGTGACTGCTAATGGGTACAGGCTTTCTTTTTGGGATGATGAAAATCTTCTGAAATGTGAAGGTTGCACAACTTTGTGAATACATTATAAAACTCTGAATTTATACTTAAAAAATTAAAAATTAAAAATTAACTTTAAAAAAATGGCTTAGCAAAACTAATCTCATTTTCATACCCACCCTCCTGCCCTACTGCCTGTGAGAGATGAACTCCTGCCTCAAACTGAGACAAACATGGAGAGGAAATGATGAGTTGGCTTACTTATAGCGTGATGATGCTTTGCTTCCTTTGCTGACTTTGGAGGTCGTGAGGGAGCTACGCCTTTGAGTTATTTGTTCTGGAACCTTCGTAGAAGGAACACTGGCCCGGGAGTTAGCACACTGGAGTGGTTTGTTGCACAGTCATCCTCTGGTTGGCAGGTCCTACCTTCTATGGACCTAGGGTTCCTTATCTTAGAAGAAACAACTAGTTGTTTCTGTATTTCTGGCTTACAGAGATGTGAAAAGAAAATGAGTTGAAGAACAAAATGGTAAATGCACTTCATAAAGTTAAAAAGTGTAGTAATACAGTGTTGTTTTTAATGAGGTGAAATTCACGTAATATAAATTTAACCATCTTAAAGTGCATGCCATTCAATGGCATTTAATACATTCACTGTGTTGACTGCAGTATTCTTAAAGTATAGCATTCTCTATGTGAGAATTTTACTTTGCTTATATTGATGAAATAGTTGACTTTGTCTATTACATGTGGACTATATGTCAAAATGAATGTGTTCCTTAAAAGTTAGCCTGCAGAGCTGTGCTACCACTTATCACCTGCCTGGAATTAACCCTGAAGAACACCTTGACCGCATGCTGGTGTGTAGTGGACACGGAAGGAAGACAATTGCAGAGAGATGTTAGATGGAGTGTCTGGCTCCATCTGAGAACTTGCAGAGAAACGCAGAGGGAGAGGCTGCCACAGAAAGTACTCTGTAACTAGCATGCTGCATGCATGTATTATCACTATAGCAAAGGACACAAGGGAACTGTTTGCATCAGGGAAGGGCCGCCTCAAATGATTCCAGAATGAGGAAGCTGGTTGTTTTGATACCAGAGATGAAGTTGGATAGGGGGTGTTCCTGACCTGGTGCCCTCAGAGAAGGGAAGAATAAGGTGGTGTTAACCTGGAGGGACACGGGCTTTGAGCAGGAGTTGCTAGTTGTAAAAGACTGAGCTCCAAACGGAGTCAGCCCCTGGTCGTAGTCAGTAGTTCTCTCCCTCTAGGGCCTGTTAGCCTTCTCTGCTATGGCTACGTGACCCTGCCTCCCTTCTAGGTCTTGGGACGTCCTGTTCTAGATGTTCATTCTGCATCAAACCAGTCCTGGCATCAGTTTCACAGTGACCTTCGGACCTCAGCTCTCCAGTAACTGGGCTCTTGCAGAATCTCTTATGAGTAAGAAACTTTTAAAAATTAAGCCTTCAGGGGCCGGCCCGGTGGCGTAGGGATTAAGTTCATGCACTCCACTTCGGCAGCCCGGGTTCGCGTGCACCGACACACCGCTTGTCAAGCCATACTGTGGCGGCGTCCACAGTATATAAAAGTAGAGGAAAATGGGCACAGATGTTAGCCCAGAGCCAATCTTCCTCAGCAAAAAAAGAGGAGGATTGGCATCGGATGTTAGCTCAGGGCTAATCTTCCTCACCAAAAAAAAAAAAAAATAATAAGCCTTCAAGCTCCTTCTTAGGCCCAGGCTGGTGCCCCTCCCAGCCATCAGAAACCCTTCTCTTCCTTGTAGCAGCCCTCAGGAGCTCTGCCTGCTTTCGTCCTCTCTTTAAAGTGGCCACCACCAACTTGAGCCCTAAAGCCTGAGTGTGGAGGGTACCAGGGTGTCCTCGCTTCTTCTGAAGGAGGCGCAGGGACCCGCCCATCACTATAGAAATACAGTGGACCCCACGGATGTGGGAAAGTTATAAAGGATTGTTTCTACTGCCTTCTGAAGCTGGTAATTAGAAGTTGGTTCAAACTTGTGCTTTCTGTTTTTATTCCTGAAAGAGGTCAAAACTGTTGCCTGCTCTGCCCCCATTTCCTTTTTAGGCCTATTTTTAGGCCAAGGACTTAATGAACCCCTTCCTCCAATAAAGCCCCACTTTCTATCAAGAAGACTTGGGTGATGTTAAGGTGGGACCGCAGCTGCCCCTCGTGGTTCACGTCTTTTTCTGAGAAGCTCCAGACTCTGAGATGTTCAGCTCTGTCTCAGTCCATCATGTCCATTAGGGCTTTTCTGCTTGTGACAGATACTTTGGACAGCAAACACATAACCCCTTACCAGTCCCCTTTGCCTTTGCCCTTTTCTATTTTAGAAGCCACTGTGGAGGCTTCCTTCGCAACTAAGAGTGGACACATTCTGGCTAAAGTCTGCTATGGAGTTTCTGGGAAAGCTCTTGCTTTTCTGATTTAAAAAACAAAAAAGACATCGCTGATGCTCTCATATTCCACTCCTCCACTGCTTCCTGCTTTAAATGCAGATGTGATGCCTGGTGGTCAGGCAGCCATATTAAAAGAAGAGGCAACAAGCTAGAACACTAAGGATTGGTTGGGGTGGGCATAGATGGGCGTACAGTAGTAGAGGGAGCATAAGGATCAGCTAAGACACAAAAATCCTGAGGCTTAAAGACTTTCTCAGATAGGATCTTTGGCTGTGGTTATCCACACAGGAAATTTTACAAAAAGTATTCCTAACTGATAACCACCTAATAAGATGCATGTGGAGATACTTCTCTTTAAATGATGGGAATAAATAGGGGAGAAGACAGCATGGAGAACTAAAAAACTCTTTCTGACCCTTACCAAATCTACCGACAGTGAGGGAAATTCCTTGTTTTGAGTTGAATGTGGCCCTGCAGTTAAAACATTCTAGAAGAATTCCTTCCTCCCTGGCTATGGCCATCTGTCTTGAACCGACAGGGTCTGGGGTGTATGAGAGGAAGTTGCCCATATGGGGTTAAGTGGTGAGTTAATGTCATTGTAGAACAACTACTATTTGATCAGGGTCTGCTGGTTAGGCCAAAGCTACCTCCCTTTTTTTTGGCTCTGCCAGCCCAAATCTTGAGGAGATTATACTTTTAGGAACTCATAAAATTTTGTGTCTGTTTCTCATCAGTACCACCTTTAGACCCAGGCAACTTGAGCCCACATTCTAGAAACCGCTGTTCCTTCGTCTGGCTATATCCTTGCCTCAGAGCAGGGGGTCTGTCTGCCTAAAGGTTATGCCCATTAGAGCCACATCATCCTCTATGATCTGGGTACCCAGGACCCCAGAATTCTCTACCAAATAGCCCTGGGCCCACTTCTGAGGCATGTGTGGGCCTCTTCCCATGAGAAGTCATTGCTAGGCCTGAGTGGGGTGATGAAGGGCAAACTGTTTGCTTTGGGGGCCGGGAAGGTAGATGTAATTCAGCTGAGGGATTCCGTTGTCTGCCGCATGAGAAGGAGGACCCCCACAATGCAGGATGCAGCTGGGGTGGAAGGGTAGTACACTGGAGGTGCCACTGCCCGGTGAGCATTGCTGGGCCCA